TGAACAGGCTGCTTGCAAGTGTAGAGTTTCCCAGGGAGTGGAAGGAGGCCAGGATGATGCTCATCCCCAATCCGGGTACACGCAAGGTGAAACTTGACAAGTTACATCAGCTGCTCGTCAGCAAAAACATTGACTCCGACGACGTTAGAATAACTAGTAATCTGTATTGGGGTCAAAAAGCTAATAGAATGGTAGAAAATCAACCAACAGAAGAAATCGGGTTTCGTCGGGGGTGAGACTGGGTTGCATCCTATCACCGCTTCTATTTAACCTCTAGAGCAAGGCCTTTATAGGGAAACCCTAGAAGATCAGTTAGTGGGAATAGTTATAAATGGAGAAGTAATTAATAATATGAGGTATGCTGATGACACCGTCTTGTTAACGAGCAACCTTGAAGACACAACACCTTTTATAAAATTTAAATGATCGATATAATGAATACGGACTAAAAGTCAACTTTACGAAAACCAAGTTAATGTATTTTGAAAATTCCCACAAGATCTGAACCATGCGAACCTGACGGTGGCAAAACCACGATAGAGAATGTGTCGACATAAAAATATCTAGAAACTTGGATAGAACAATCGGGTGACCAAACAAAGAGAAATAAGAACGAGAATAGAAATAGCCAGATCGACATTCGTAAAAATAAAGACGGGAGACAAGATTTACGAGTCGGGCATTTAACATGGAACTTAGGATGAGGATGCTGTATTGTTACGTTTTTTCCACGCTCTTGTATGGAGTTGAAGCATAGACCTTCAAGAAAAACCACATCGACAAAGTATCATCATATAATGAGAGGACAGAAATACAAACTTCTCCAACTGATAGTCCAGCGATTACTGGCTAGAGGATTGTTCAGCTGTTCAGAGCTGCAATCAATAAAGTCATGATTGATGATGAAACCTCCGATAGTAGATAGATAGTAGAAGAAGTGTTAACTCGATAAGCTGGATCTTCCCACCAAACCGAGCCGGCACATTGCGTCGCAGCAGAGTAAATAAAGACGATTATTTCTTAGGTTTTTATCTCTCAATTTCCCAATTATTTCCATGCTTAACTCAACACTAGGTATGAAAATATTTATTAACACTTCTCAAATAAGAATTTTTTGTTGAAAAATTATTTTAAACATATTTTGAATTGCTACGGTATATGCAGCTGTCCGAACATCTATGCCTAACTTGAATTGCTCCAGATTTTTTATAATTTCCTACAAAAAAAAACAAATCAATCACAAAATGCACGAAAGTTACATTGTAGAAATTATAATAGTTTAATAAAAGCGACTATACGAACATCCTGACAATATTTTCCAGTTAGTAATTTTTTGCAAAGAAACCGCTTTGTGATTGCTAAAGCTCATAATACAGGAAGTTTGGTAACCCAGCCTTCTTAGAAGGAGGTTTGCAAACATATTTTTGGTGTATTTCTTTAGAACCCATATCTCGAAAGCAGTTAGTTAAACATTGCAGTTATGAATATATTTGAACCATTGGGATATGGACCAAATTGGACACTTAAATGGAAACTCCCATTTCTGTACCAGTTAGTCAAAAACTGATGTCGGTGTCTGAGCCTCAATTTTTATGACAAAATTCGCAAACTCGAGACCCGAGCTAGAAATTTCAGGAGTAATGCAAGGATTTGCATCTCTCCCGTCCATTGAACTGATTAACTATTCACGAAATGTTCAGACGATTTTCGTCATTAATTTTGCCATAAACATAGAGGCTCAGACACCGACATCAATTTTTGACTATCTGGTACAGGAGTGTACCATAACAGGAGTTATCCATAAAATTCTGGAAACTTACAGTACAAACAAATGATAGGCTTGAACCTACCAAATGTTAGGAGATAACAATTATTGTAGCGCCCAAATATTTATATAGATATAGATAGCCTATCAGACTATGAAGGATTTCACGGCCGGTCAGATTACATTTAGGAATGTTTTCCGGGCTTTGAAGCCGTGGTCTATCGGAATTTCTTCCTGACGTTTCGTCCATAACTGCGGTGGACATTTTCAAAGGCGATGAGGCAGTGGGCGAAGTGAT